ATAAGATCAAAGTCCTATTTAAAAATAAGTATTAATAGTTGCAGTGATGTTTCTTCATCACATTGTTCAGCCACTACAGAATGCTGAAGATAAGAGATGATACTATTTCCTGCAGCAATGCCTCTCTGGCCCGGTCAAAGCAAGACAAGTAACAATTTAAATTTAATGGTCCATGCAGCTAAGTGGCTTTAATTATTAAAACCAATTAAGTAGTTAGGAACTGACAGTATACCCTCCAGAGTCCTCACCCAGGCCATATGTTCATATTGTTGGGTGGGATAAAGTAAAGGGACAAAAAGATAAAAAAGAGTGGTAATTGTTTCTTGGAGAGCATCAAATCCGCTCTTAGTTCTTAAATTGCCACTGAAAAATCTGGAAAAGGTACAATTCCACCCAAAATAACAGTACAAAACCAAAGCAGCAGAACAAACAACAATGAATTTGACTCAATATAAAAAATAAATGGTGTTTAAACAAGTTTTATGAAATATGCAAGCTCTTAGTTATGATGGAATGAACTATTCAAACCAGGCACAAAAATGGATGGTATGAAAGATGACAAAAAATTTCAGAAAAAATAATAAACTGTCCTAGGAAAAGAGTAGGGAGAATTCTCAGTTCCCTGGCAACTTCAGGCCTTTGAAAGTTCTCTAGGGAAAAAAGTATTAAAAAAAAATAAACTCCTCAAATACAGCAGGAACCCCAGGACACTGGTACTAGTTGCTGTCTTAATATTCAATACCTACACATCTCTGCAGTCAAATGCCAAATATTCCTCCACTATGCCTTCGGAGAGAATTATTTCCTCTTCCCCTTCGTCACTCTCTGAGGAACACAAGGTCGGAGACTTGGAAGGGTCGGCCTTTTTGTGAACAGGAGTAACAAAAAGAGGGACCTTCTTGCCAAAAACACTAAATCTGAACAGGTGACAGTTGTCAGAAAGCAGAAATGAAAATAAGTTATTATTCCACTTCAAATAACTGAGAGACAGCATGGTACTTAAGGCCAAGGGAGACCAACAAATTATTCATTACAGTAAAAACTTTTGCTTTGGATATTTTTTAATTCTTTCTAAGGAACTTGAAACTTCAGGGAAAAAAATCAGAAAGCATTTTGAAACATTAAATCATAATAGTGCTAACGCAGTGCTTTGTATTTATGATGTTCTATATAAATTTAACAGATGATTAGCAATAAAACCAGCCACAAAACATACACATCCTTAAGAAATCAGCAGCAGCAAAGATATTTCTATTTACTGACCAGCTCACTGCAGTCAGCAAAGAGCATGGCTACATAGTCTTGCTACTCTGAATGTACTGTTTTCAGTTAAAAAGGAAAATAAAGTGTGCTGTGCTCAAAACTCAGCCTGACAGGAAGGAGTCAGGGCTGCACATTTTTAAGCAGCAGAGGACAAAGCTGCTCCCCACTGCCTTGTTCCCTGCAGAGAACAAAGTGACCTTCCCACCTGGGTCCAGCCCGGGCTCGCCACAGGTACTCACCCATCATCATCCTGCTCTGGAGGTGAACTTACAGCTGAGGGAGCCCCACTGCCCGCAGGGGGACTGGAGAACCATCCATACCCTTCATCCGTGGGCACCACCAGCTGCCTCCCTACGACCCTGTGGGGGCACAAGCAAAGGGCACACACATCAGAGGGTGCTGGAAGGGAGATTGCTGAAGTGTGTCAGAGCAGCAGCAAACCCGAGGAGTTCTTCTGGGGAGCTTCTGGTGGTTGGTTCAGTTGTTTTCCCTGGTACAGGTTGCTTTGAGCCAGGTAAGTACATCAAGAAAATTTGGCCTGTTTTTTTTTAATGCTCTGCTAACTGTAAAACTTATGAACATGGACAAAACTGTTCCAAGTGCACGTAATGAAGATTTAAAATGTAAGTTTTCAGACAGCCATAAGGACTGCTGAACTAGGGGAGGAGGGTTTTTACATTATTTTAAGCTTATAGCTCCACCACAACAAAATTTGCTGTGCTTAACAGAGCAAAACCCGATTTTCTAAGAGAACTCTGCTATGTTAAGGCCAAGTCAGCTGCAAATAGCCATAAACCTCTGCCAGGGAACCAAATGTGAGGTAACAGATTGTTTATTTTAATGGCCAGAGTGATCTTTTTATTCCTCTCTACTCCATAAGTGCATAAACCCACCCTGCTACTAATGTTTTAAAAGCAACTGTGTCCATCCCTACCCTTTTTGTGAGGAGATTGGCATTAGTGTGTCCATAAAATACCTGAGATGAGGAAAGCTGGATGTCCACTGCTGGCATTCCTCCCACAGTCCCTCCACATGCACATTTTCTTTCTGCTCATAGAGAAGCTCATCAATTTGTCTGAACATCTGCTGAACTTGTTGTGTGGCAGCTTTATCAAATTCCTAGAAAGGGAAGTTGTCCAGTAAATACCTAGTGAACAGTATTTGCATTGCAGGGGGAGGGTGTTAATTGATTTTTCTTTAATATAATTGAAAAAGACAACTATTTGTTTCAAGCTTAACAGACTGCATAGAAGGATTTTAACTTTAAATCCTTTCCTCCCAGAGATGATCATTTCCCCCCTGCTGCTAAGACTGAAGGTGGCCACATAAAAAGCTTACACTGACACGGCAGATAAACTACTAAAACATTTTGAAATATCCATGTTATTACATTAAGTTACAAGATACAGGAATTTACATAAATCAGAACAGGAAGGATAAAATTCAGTGATATTTTAATGCAATGGAAAATCTGTGGCTTGCAACAGACAGACAACAGCAAAACAAAAGGCAATGGTGGGAAACAGTGCAAGTGAGGGATGGTCAGGACCTTTGTTACGTGTGCTCATGTAGCCACAAAATGAGGTCAGTTCTGGGGTCATTTCAATCTAAACAGCTCCATCTCACCGCACAAGAAAGCAACAGCACACTGGGCTTTGGTAGGTGGAGAATAAAACAACCATTCCTAAATTAAAATTATGTTTAGGAGCTTCCAGTATTTTGAGAAGCAAGTATGCAGAAGTTTGATAAACTCACACCAAGTACCTGAAAATCATCCAGTCATGTTTGGGATTCCACACTATAACAGCATTTGTAGATACACTTATGCAATAAATGATTTGCTTTTCCAAAATTTTAGATGGAAGTACACCATATTAATTGAATAGTATGAGCCTAATGTGTTCTGAACTGGGAGAAAGACAAAAATATGTTCTTTTTAAAATCACTATCATGATTTATTAACAGATCCAATCCTCATTTTTATCCCGAAATGTCTTTGCAATGGTATTTTGAACGGTTTTCTCCTCACTGTGGTAGGTTTGGCTGGGATGACATCTTCTACTCACATCATAGCCCCAAGAGAAGACTGAGCTGTCCTCAGTGGAGGTGTCGGCACAGCTCTCACTGCCAGTCCCTGGATTCCCATGATCAGCTGATTCCCTCCGGATTTCTGACTCCCTGAAACCCACAAGAAATAAACCATGACAAATGCAGTGTGTCAGCCAACAAAGCCTGGCTGTATCAGAACAGCTCTGGGAGATATGTGCCCACAGTACCTGGAGACGTGGCCGTGGTTTTCAGCCCTGGGTGTGGCTGAGCACACCTGAACTCCTGGCTCTGGCAGGGGGTGATGCCTCAGGGCATGTTTTGGGAGTCCTTGTCTGAAAAAAAAAGCAGCAGAACTTGACAAGTTACTCACAAGAATAAATGTTTGCAGAGTTTCCAAAAGTTTTACAGGTTTTTTCTTTTCTGCTTTTCAAGGAATGTGCATGCATTTGTTGTTATTAGATGGCTAATTCTTGTTACTAAGGCTTTAGGTAAGGACCAGAGAAAACGGCCTCAAGTCGCACCAAGGGAGGTTCAGGTTGGATATTAGGAAAAGTTTCTTCGTGGAGAGGGTGGTCAGGCATTGGAACAGGCCTTGGTGGAGTCACTGTCCCTAGAAACGTTTCAAAGGCTGTGGATGTGGCACGTGAGAGCATGGTTTAGTGATGGACACGGTGGTGCTGGGTTAATGGTTGGACTTATCTTAGAGGGCTTTTCCAACCTTAATGATTCTGTGATTCTATGAAACATGCACTGGCAAGTTGGGAGGAATAATTTTTGGTAGTTTTTTGTTTTGTCAAACTTTAGATGTCAAGGAGAGAGAGACAAGAAAAGTAGCATTAATTGGAGACAACAAGTACCAATGCAGGGCAGAAGCCCTGTCTCAAACAGCAGCTGAATGAGGCTTAAATAGAGAACTTCTCTCTCCCGTCATTTCTCTGCTGGCCAGAAATGGCAGAATTAAACATAAAAAGGCTGTAGATAAGTCACTAACTTCCAAAATGGATATATTTGTTCAATACAAATTAAATACAATTAAATACACATTTGTTTAATACAAATACATTAAAAAAAAAAAGGCCAACGTATCAATTGGGTCAGAACTGACCCAAAATTATTGTTACCGAAGGTTTACATTTAAGGTATCAGAACTGTCGTTATAGTACTATATTTAAGAATAGTTATATATTATAAACAGGGAGTTATATATTTTAAGCAGGGTCTTCACTTTGAAACGTCTCCCTTTAAACTAAAAACGTTGTGAATTGCGCTGCAGCTCCCTGAGCGCAGAGACAATGTCGCTGTCCCCGGCGGCGAATTAAATTAAATTAAACAGGACAAAAGCAACCAATTCAGTCAGAACCGACGCTGCTCTCGGGCCAGGGACAGCAGGAAGCGCAGAGCAGGGATTTAACCGCGGGGGTGCCGGGGGGACACACGCGGCGGCCGGGCCCTCGCGGGGCCCTGTCTGCGGCCGGGGGAGCGCGGGCGGCGGGGCCGGGATCAGGCCGGGGATGGGGACAGGGATGGGGACAGGGATGAGGATGGGGATGAGGAGCGGGGCCGGGATGGCGATGGGGGCCAGGGGAGCGGGGCCACTCACGGCTGCACCGGTTTGCGCGCGTATCGCGATATCATCCTGAGCGCCGCCGCCCCGCCGCCATCGCGCCGCTCCTCCCGCGGGGGCGGAGCGCGGCCGCGCCGCGATGGAGGCGCTGGGCAGATCTGCTGCGCTGGAGCCGCTCGGGCGGCCCGCGCTGCCCGAGGACGCGGTGCGGTACCGCCTGTTCGCGCCGGGCCCCGGCGGGCAGGCGCTGCTGCAGCGCTGCGCTGAGGCGGCCCTGGTGCGGCTCGCCCCGCTCCTGGCCGCCTACGTGTGGCACCGGCAGCCGTTCCGCCTGCGCTACGAGCCGGCCAGGGGTGAGCCCGGGAGCGGGCTGCGGGAGCGGGACCGGGGGGAGCCTGCGAGGGGGAGCCGGTGTGTGAGGGGGGTACCGGTGTGTGAGGGGGACCCGGTGTGTGAGGGGGCAGTGGGTGTGTGACGGGGGAGCCGGTGTGTGAGGGAGGACTCCGTGTGTGAGGGGGGCCCCGGTGTGGGAAGGGGGCCCCGGTGTGGGAAGAGGGCCCCGGCGAGGCCTGTCAGGTGTATCCAGGAGTTTGTGAGGAGGGACCTGGCGGGTTCACAGAATCCCCAGAACGGGTCAGGCTGGAAGGGACCACAGTGGGGATCTGGTCCAACCTCGCTGCTCCAGCAGGGCCGTCCCAGAGCACACGGCACAGGATTGTGTCCAGAGGGCTCTGGAATATCCCCAGTGACGGACACACACCGTCTCTGGGCAGTTCCTGGGTCTGGGGTTGCTGAGCCGCCCCTCCTGTCTCTGCCCCCCGTGCAGGCGAGATCCCAGCGCACATCGGGGGCACCACCCTGTTCGGGGACAACGTGGAGGACGAGTGGTTCATCGTCTACCTGGTCCGGGAGATCACCAGGCACTTCCCGGGGCTGGCAGCCAGGTAGGGCAGGTCCTGCTGAGGTGCCCAGAATTTCAGGAGGGGTGTGAAGGGGTAGTGCCTTCGCTTTGAAGGTCCTGTCTTGACATTGCCCATCCCTGGAAGCGTTCAAGGCCAGGCTGCTTGGGGACTCTGATTATACTGGTCTAGTGGAAGGTGTTGGAACCAGATGATCTTTAAGGTCCCTTCCAACCTAAGCCATTCTATGACTCTATGAGTATTAAAAAGAAACCCAGCAGACATGGATTTAGGAGCACGTTACTGTGCTCTGCAAGGCTTTCCCTTTTAAGAAACCGATTTCTCCTTGGCCAGGATCAATGACAACGATGGAGAGTTTCTCCTGATAGAAGCAGCTGATTTTCTCCCAAAGTGGCTGAATCCTGAGAATAGTGAAAACAGGGTGAGTAAAACTTCTGTACATTTGGCAAGTGGCTCATGGTGGCCTTTTATATAGCAGCTGGAATCTTCTCTTGCACCTCTAGCCAAGTGGTCTGACTGCCTCTGAAAATCCTGAGTGCTGTCTGTCCCTTACTAGTGAATAAACTTCTACTCAGAGCTCAAGACTTTTAATCAACAGCATGAGGTTCTTTTAGTAGTCTCTTTTCATTCTGGTTTTAATGAGCTGCTTTGTACTTGCTGTGGTTGTTGAATGAGAGACTTTAATGACTGGGAACTCCTCACACTTGATTTGGGTCCCTGTGCTCTTGCAGAGTGTTATGTAGAGTGAGTGTGTAGGGAATTTTTCAGCAAATAGGTTATGCTGATTCTCCTGAAGCAAATCTCTGGTGGAGGGGAAACTTTTGGTATTACTGTTATTAAGGAAACAAGATACATTTGACCAAACTTGTTGAAGTTAAAATAGGGGTTTTTATTCACTGTTTGGGTTGTGGTTGCTAGCATCTCAAATGCCATTTTTAAATTATACTGCTTCCCATGTTATTTATTTGTACTTCAGTATTCCCTGTGTTCCAACAAATGCATTTTGTATATGAAATTAAGTTTCCCATAGCTCGGTGTGTGCCTGTTGTGATGGGAACGTTCCCCTCTGCCAGGTGTTCTTTTACAAAGGAGAGCTGCACATCATTCCGCTGTCAGAGACTGGGGAGCAGGGATGGGACCTGTCTGCTCCCTGTCCAACAATCTCAGAGGCACTGGCACTGTTATCCACCCGTTCTGAGGAGTTCCTGGCTGCAGAGCCCATCAGAGCTGCCATCTATAAACGCATTGATGGGTATGTGGGGGTTTTATTTTGGTCTTCTGCCACAGTAAGGTTTGATTCTGAGCTGTCTGGGGTTTAAAGATTTCCCTGATAGATGTGATAAAGTCGATTCCTTTGCAGAAACCACCAGCTAGAGGTTTTCCTGTGGCATTCTCGGGAAGAGGGGGATCAGTGTCCTGTAGAATGGGATCTGGGGGCTCTGAAGCAGGTTCACTACTATGACTCCACACCTGGCAATGACAAGTTATTCTTCCTTCCCATTCTTCTTGTACTAAAAAATCTCAGAGTTCTGTGAGCCTTTGGGACCCCTTTGCAGGAGGAAAAAGAGGGTTTGAACTAAAATGTAGAACCAGCATATTTTTCAGAGCATCACAGCACTGCCCATTATTTTTTGCAGCAGTGTGAGCCAGATGACTTCCACAGTGGGTGTGGTGAAGGACAGTGTGTAGCTGAGTGTGTTAGTTCAGTTCACAGTGACTCACCAATGTGGGGATCAATATGTGTGTGGGGGGGATATTACATCTGTTACAGAAGCAGCCATTCCAGGCGAGTTTTAAACTTCAGGATAACACAGGTTAACATTACAGTGAAAATGGGACTGACAGTGCCAAAGGCGTGGTTTGGGCTGGCAGTACAGTGACTCTGTGGCTGTTGTGTGACACCAGGTATCTGTGGAAAATATTGCAGAAACATGGTTATTAGAGAGAGGGCATGAGAAAGATTCTATAGCTCTGGTCTCATGCTAAAGCAAGGAAAACTATCAGAAGGTCACTGTTCACTGTGTTTGTGAAACTGCATTGTCTAAGAAATTGTGAAGCTGCATTGTCTGATGTGAAGCTGCATTGTCTATGAAAATGCATACGTGATAGAAAAGGTAGAAGTAACAGGATGGGAAATGTAGAGAAAGTAGCAAAGTAGCAAATAAAGTAACTATAAGCATGAGAAAGAAGCAGCATTTGCGCCAATAAGATTTAGGTAATTAGAAGCCAATGATGAGCTAGTGCTTGCAATATGTATGAAGCTAATTAATAAGTATATAAAACCAGAAAGCTACAGCAATAAATTGGATTAGATGTAACACGAAAACTGTGTTCGTGTCATCTTTTCCCATCGTCTACAACAGGTATCCTGAGAAGCTGCAGGCCTCCCTGCACCGGGCGCGGTGTTTCGTGCCCGCGGGCATCGCGGCGGTGCTGCGCCAGCGCCCGTCCCTGGTGGCTGCTGCAGTCCAGGCCTTCTACCTGCGGGACCCGGCGGATCTGCGGGTCTGTCGGCGCCCCTTCCACACCTTCCCTGCGGACCAGCGTGTGATGACCATGGTCAGTGACCCCAATCAGCCTGGCAGTTCACTTCTGTGACTGGCAGGGGCTCTGTGGGCAGTGGTGTAAATATGTGCGTTTAGTTTTTACAGCAGGGTGTTTTCTGGGTTGTTTATTTTTTTTAATGAACTTTTAATAACTTCCAGTTCGTTACATCAATAGCTTGTGTGCCTTCACATTGACACAGCTGGGCTTTCAAAGGGCTAAGCAGGAGGTAAATGTTTCTGAAATGGGAGGTTGTGCTAATAGTCCCTCTGCTGAAATGCTTGCTGAATAAACTGATCCCCTTCTGTAATCAGAGCAGTTTGACAGCACTGCCAGCCAACAGGAGTTGCTGCTAACTACCCCCAGCTGTTCATGCCGAGGCTTCTCACCTTGTCAGCTGTGCTCACACACTTTATGAAGTGTTTCATGAGCATTGTGTCGTATCTGATACATTTTCTGACATTGTTATACCCCTAGACTCCTGAAAAGAAGCTTTGCAGTCAAATTTTAGATTTCTAGACTGTTCCCGAAATCTCAGCTTTGGTTTCATTAATAGAAAAAAGCCCTTGCAGTTTTTCAAAATACACCTTGTTGGTGTGAATACTGAATACTTGGGGTCTTTTCTAATGTATTTAGACTGATGGAAGCTTATGTCTATTTAGAGATGTCAACTTGGAATATACTTTGTAAGACCTGAAAAGCAACATATCTTAGAAAAACATACCCAGGATGTGTTTTGAATGCGGTCTCAGGTGTTGTCTGTAATACTGGTGCCTTAAAACACAATTTAGATGAGCCTGGTGGAAAGTTGCTGCCTGTACACGACCCAGTCACGCTGCAGTGAGTGGTTTTCCTCTGCTCTGGCTGTTCCAGGTCACCTTCACACGGTGTTTGTACGCACAGCTGGTGCAGCAGAAGTTTGTTCCAGACAGACGCAGTGGGTACACCCTGCCCACCCCAGCTCACCCTCAGTACAGAGCCCATGAACTGGGCATGAAGCTGGTAAGGATTTCTTATGCATTTTGTGCTTAGTTTACCTGTTTATGTATGTCCAGGAAATGACTCTTTGCTTTTTAAGTTGCCTGCTCGTCCAGAAAACTGTGAGCCAAGTTTGCTACACCTTTAGAACCTCCTTGTTTTTGCATCTCTTATACAGGCTCATGGCTTTGAAATTTTGTGCTCCAAGAGCAGCAAAGTATCTCCTAATTCCCAGAGAAATGCGCTCAGTGGTCCCCTGTGGGAGAGATTCCTCAGGAGCCTGAAGGACAAGGATTATTTCAAGGTAAAGTTGTGTGTCTGTGTCTTATAAACATTCCAATAAAAATGTTTTAGCTCTTGAACTTGTGTAAGTAGTTGCAGCAGGGCAGGAAATCTAATGCTTCTTTCTATGGAAAATTAGTTAATGTCTTTATACGTGCTACATGCAGTTTGTTCCCCTTTTGAAATTAATTTCTTTTGGAAATGAATAAGGAAAAAGCAGGATTTGTGGATGAATTCATTCATTTAAATAAAGGGGAGAGATACATTTGAATGAAGGAAATCACAATATGGTTGTGTGAAGTCTGATTTCATTGCTTTACCTTTCATTTGTGTACCTCTAGAATTCGGTGTTCCTAATGATCCGTACATAACACCAGAAATCTTTTGGGGCCCATGTAAGTGTAATTTTGTGTGTGTGTGTGCTCATGCTTGTGACAGGGAGAAATGGAAGGCTCTGCTAAGTACTCAGAACTCTTGCACATGGCAGAGGATTATTTCCAGCAGTCTGTTACCACTCCAGAAAGGTAAGAGCTACTTGAAATTCATGGGTATCATACACAGTGCCTACAAATACTTTTAACTTACCTTCTCAAGTTCCTGTTATGGAAAACCTGAGCCCTTTTCTCCATGGTACATTTATCAGTGTACAGTGCTGTGGTGCTCTGGCTGGGAGCAGTATTCCTCTGGACTACTCTCTACTAGTAGAGGTTTTTGCTTGGGTAACTATTTATCTTGGTTTTGTAAAGTGTTAAGCTCTTCCAAGTGGGTTAAGAGGTGACTGACAAGCATTATTTGCTTGGTTGACTATGGAAAGTGCATAAAAGTTTCATTGAAAAGCAGTCCCAGTGAATAATAAATCTGGAGTAATCTGTCTCCTCTACTCAAGACAGGCAGCTGGCTGTACATTTCTCCAAAAGATCAAATCCAAGAAACAAATCATTACAAAAATAGCTGAGGGTTTGCCAGCTCATAATATCTGGACTGTTAGTTTTTTGAGTTTCCAGTCTGTACTGTTTGGGATCTGGCAATCTTCATATTTACCAAGGCAAAATAAATATAAAGAAAAGGAAACACAAGAAGTGGGCTTTGGAGCCATCAACTACAAATTACAGCAACTGACTGAGTCTTGTTTTGGCAAATACTATGTGTAGTATCCTGGTACTTCCCTCAGACTCACTTACCTTCTGACAGGTTTGCCCAGAAGTGAAAATGGAGAATTTGAGTGAAAACCTGAATGTAAAGTGTGTGATGCCATTGAATCCATTTCAATAAATTGATTTTTTTTTTCCTTCTAGCTCTGTTGAAGTGAGCCCAGGGGATGAAATCTTGGCATTGCTACAGACAACACCCATTGATTTGAAGGAATTTGAGAGAGAAGCAGCTTGTCTTCCTCCAGAGGATGGTGAGCTGGACTGGGGAAGGGGAGATTATTCCTATCACATGATTATTTGTGGGGGGAGAGAGGGAGTGTTCATGGCTATAAAGGGAGAGCCAATCCAACTTTCATTAAGACTAAATATTGGATTGGCTCTCCCTTTAAAGCATAAGTGTTTCTTCCTTCATTTAGTGGCAGAAGGATTCTCTGTGACTAGTTTGAAGCTTCGTGCAAAGCAGAGTGTTAAAGCAGTGACATAAATTCTCAGCTCTCCTCAGCCTCTCACTGCCTTGTGTGACCCAGAGGCAGCCCAAAAACTTACCAGTGCAAAAACAAGCTGCCAAATGGTAGCAGTGCTCTCAGCTGTGTGGTTTGAGTAACAGATCTGCCCTGTGTTCCTTCAGATGACAGCTGGCTGGATATTACACCAGATGCTCTGGATCAGATGCTGAAGGAGGCAGGAAATGAGTCCCTTCCTTCCGCAGACGAGGAAGAGCAGAAATACCACTTGGAAACGGTTGCTGAGAGCATGAAGGCCTTTGTGTCCAAAGTCTCCACACACGAAGGAGCAGAAATGCCATGGTAGGGGTGCTTTTGAGTTTGGGGTCAGGTGTAGGAAGTTTCACTGTGCTGCAGCCCTTTGGTTGATTCTGGGATGTGGAGAATCAGGGTTTGAAAGTGTTCTGCTGGCAGAGGCCTGCAACAAACCCATGGGAATAGTGAATATACAGAGTTGCTCCTAAACCAACTTGGTGACCACTCCAACACTGGTGCAGGTGAAAATGCTGGAAGCTGAGCTATTTTCTGCCACTCTCTTACTTAGTTTGGCTTTGTGGTCTTTAAAATTTTTCCCTTTCATGCCAGGAATTCCTCCACCCACTGCAGAGGCTTCAAACTTCTGAGCACTTCTAAGACCATCAGTTCAAATGTCCCAACTTTAATCTGGGCTTGACAGAAATCACTGTGCCATTATGCTCGTGTTGGGCTTAGGCAAGCATAAAAGCTTTATTTATTTAAAAATGCTTTTGTATTTCAGGTCATCTGACGAATCCCACGTTACCTTTGACGTAGATTCTTTTACAAAAGCCTTAGACAGAATTTTAGGTGAGATCACTTCTTTGTTTGAAACAAATCACTGCTGACATGTTTGCTGTCTGTACTGACACAAAATAATACCTAGGGGCAGACTCAGAGGAGCTGGATTCTGATGATCTGGATGAAGAGGAGGAGTTTGGTTTCTCAGATGAGGATGATGAAGACTCAGGTGCTGGAAATCAAAGGCAAGACCAGAAGGTATCACCTGATGAGCTCATAGGCAGCCTCAAGTCATACATGGATGAGATGGACCGTGAGCTGGCACAGACCAATGTTGGGAAAAGTTTCACCACTCAAAGAAAAGGGGTGAGTATGCCTTGAGCTCCAGTTTGTAGCATGGGAGTTTTGAGAGCTTTAGTGGGAAAGTGGAAATGTGCTGATCAAAAACCTTCCCACGTGCAAGCAAAATGTGCTGTGGTTGCACCATAATAGTGCATTTTAAGCTTTAACTTGCACCTCTTTTCCAAGACTTAGTTTCATTCCCTGCTTTCAGTAGTGAGGTGAGCAGCTGCAGCTTAACTTGTGAGTTCCTGTGGTAGTTTGCTCCCATAGGAAGCTGAGCCAGGACTCAGCAACGCTTTCTGTCCTTCCCTTGGAACTTAGTGTGTGTAGTGGACAGTGATGATTTTTAGCTGGCATGAGCATTTGGTGGCTAAATTCCTGTCTGTCAAGACTGTGGAATGTGCTGGGCTTTGCTGGCTGCAGAATTGTTTCCTTGTTTCTTTTCCCTCGTGGTTTTCCTTTTTTTTTTTTTTTGTTGATCTGTTTATGCAGTTTGATAAAACTTTCACTTTGTACTTGCTGTAGGCAAGTTCTGTTAAAGCAGCTCCATCTGAGAGTGCTGGCCCTGCCTGTGGAGCTGAAGACCCGGAATTGGCTCCAGTTGATGTGGATATGAACCTAGTAGCCAACCTGCTGGAATCCTACAGTGCTCAGGCTGGCCTGGCAGGACCCACCTCCAACATTTTACAGAGCATGGGAGTGTATTTGCCTGAAAACACAGATCATTGTGGCTCCAGCAGCTGAGCAGCACAGGGAGAGACTGTACTGACTGAGAAGACATGGCTGGTGGAGAAATGAAGCACAGGCAGACCAGCAGGATGTGCAAGAAGACACAAAAGGTTTTGACTTAGGGCATTTTATGCATTATGTGTGACTTTAGAGATGCAAAGTGAATCTACCTGCAAAAGCCTTCTGTTTGGATGCTATCTAGGGTGGAAATCAGAGCTTTCCAGTGCTAACACAGAAAACTGAAAAATGATGTTGGGACCTGAATGAGACTTATTACAAAACCTGTCTTGGATTTTTCAAACCAATGATCCATCTACCATCATTATAAAATGCCCTTTTACCTATTACTGGGTGGTTTCAGTATCTGGAAAGCAGTTTGTGTTCTGAAAATGCTGTTGCCTTCAGGGGCAGCTGGGAAATACCATGTTACAGGAACACCTCATGGACTTGGGAACGCTGGTTAAATGTTCAGCAGACATTTGATCCTTCCCAAAAGCACAGTGCTTCATTGTAAGAACTTCTGATAATTACTGGAAGAGTCTGGACCTTATTAACCAGGAGGGTTTGTGGAGTAATTGGATCAAAAATGTAAATATTGGCTAGAAGTACTTTTTGAGTTTATTTCAGTAAAAGCAGAAATACAACTTGATGACTGGAGATGTCTTTTTCTTTTCCTTTGAAGGTATGCAGGACTTCCTCAGTGCAGTATCAGAACTTCTTGGAGTTAAAGCATTTTCATAATTGGGCATTTTCCGAATTCCATTATTGCTGGATGTTGGCATCGTGCCAGCAGTAGCTGTGTGTGAGCTGTGTGAGCTCAACAGGCTGAACAGTTGAGGTTTGTTTTCCAGTGAAAATGTAGCTGGAAGGCATGTGCAGTGTGCTGCTTTCACCTGGAATCAGAAATCTATTCTAGATATGAGGACTTTACTTTTAACAAGATACATTTGAATTAAAATTCTTGATTTGCAGGTAGTAAGAACACAGTCCTGCCAGGTCTGAATCAAGCTGTTTGTTTGTTTTAATTCAATTAATCAAGTGTCTGAACTGGTAGAAGAGAAGCTCATTGGTCGAGTTTTTGTTTGTTGTTTGTTTGTGTGTTGGGTTTTTTCAAACATAGTATTCAATGACACAAAAGCCTGACTGATCCTGAAACCTGATTGCTTTTAGAGGACTGAATTATTATTATTATTATTGTTAATGTTATGTTATTACTAGTCTAAATATTGGAATACAATTAGTTGAATTCTTTGGCTTAATTTTTTTTTTTTAATGTGAAGTGTTGGCATTATTTTAATTGCCAAAGCAGAATGTAGCAGAAGTTGTTTCCATGTAGGGCTTGGACACTTGCTGGATGCTGAGTTTGTGCCTGACTGCCATGACAGCCAATGCACAGGAAATTCTGGCACAGCTTGGCGTAGTTTCACTGAAATTCAGGACCCTGACAAGGTACAGTGGCTGCTTGGCTTCCCAGCTTCTACTGACCTGTGCTCCTGGGTTTCTCCTTTTCCAAATTTTTGCTTGCTTTTGCAAATGACAGATAGCTGGTAAAATGCTCCAGTCTAAGATAAATATTGGAGATTCTGCACGTGAAACGTGGAATGAACGTGGTTGAAGGGTTGGATGTGCTGCCTCCACATCTGTCCTGCTGATGTTGTGTCACTGACTTTGTCAGCAGCTCAGGGAGAATGCTGACAAATGGGATAGGGGTTAGATATGGACAACAAGAGTGGGAAGGATGCTGCTAAAGTTCAAGGTGGGCTGCAGATCCAGTTAGACAAATTACACTGGAACATTTGGGCTAACAGGACTTCTGGGATCCAGCAGACACGGAGAGCCAGTGGTTAGTCATGGAAAACAGATGTACCTGAGCCTTGAAAAGGGCTTATGTCTGAGCAGGGAAGGTACTTAGAAAATTCTCCACTGATGAGCACTCAAATCAAAGTTAGATACTGTACAAATAATTGAGTTTCAAGATGATGATCACATTCCACTCTCTGGTACTACACAAAAGGTTGAAATACATGGAAGGACTTTTCTATTGTAGTATGTGAAGAAAACTTCTCAACTAATATTCAGAACAAAGCTGCTCTTTTGGAAGCACTTCAGCTGATCTTGGTGGTTGGATAATCTCACTTCTCCATCAGTGAGACTGTGGTTTCTATTCCAGCTATTTACATTTGTTCAGCAGCTTCACAGTGAAGGCCTTCAAGGCTCTGGAATGCTCACAGGAGAGTTTGCCATCAAGGATAAGCATTTCCATGCTGCCTCTTCACTGCTTTGAAGTAACATATGAGGCATCTCTGCTTTCAATTTTGGGAGTGTTTTTAGTGAGGGAGGCCTGATGGAATTAATTAGGGAAGACAAGTGCAGCGTGGTTCCCTTTCAACGGATTGCTATCAAAGTTTTCATTATATTCTAAAGCAGTTTAACTGGAAGTGCATTCCAACACAATTTACTCACTTTGCTCACTTGAGCAGCTGCCTTTTTGTGTAGCCTTGTTCATCCTGCAACTTGTGACCCTTCCCAGCAATGTGGTTTTCTTCTTCAAGCTTTACCCCTGAAGCCTGTTTAGTTGTTGACTGGTAGATTTAAAGCAAGAAAACAAATAGTGGATCTTTCACCTTCCATATATGAGATCAAAACTAACCCCAGGGGCACAGCAGAGACCTGTTTAAATTCTGGATGCCTGGGCACTTTGGCTGTTGCCACTCTTGCCACTGAGAAGCCTTATGGAACAGCCTTAGGAGCCCTGGAATTCCTGTGCAAATAAACTGCTCTCAGCATCCCTGAGGTGTGAGTGGATGGCAGCCTCCCTGCTGCCATGGGAAACCACCTCCCTGCAGGACCCCTGCCTGCTGCCTTGCCTTCCCAACACCTCAGGAATGACAGTCATCTCCAGGCACGTGGCAGTTGCAGTGATGGAAAAGCATTTTTAATGACTGTTTGTGCAGCTCCTGCTGCAGCTGCTTGTCTGAGAAACTGGAATTTGTTTTCCATAGCAGCAGGAGTCAGGGCAGGCCCTTTGTGCCACCTCAGGATCCCTTGGGATGCTGCAAAGGCTGCAGCAACAGCTGCCCTCCCTCTTGCCATTTCTGTCTTTGGAGTGGAACACAAGAGCATCTGTTCTGGCACGTCCAGGATGGAAATTTATTTCTTTTTCCAGCTTGCTTTATTCCCCAAAGAAAACTCCCTGCCATGGAGGGCAGTTTGGGTTCTTGGCTTAAATAGCAGACTGCAGAGCTAGTGAAAAAAGGGAGTTGTTCAACAATATGAGGTCAGGGGTGTGAAATCTTGGTGAGTATCTGCTCAGTGTCATGGAAAAGAGTGTCATGAACAACTCAACTCTCTGATGTGAAACTGTAGCTAAGAAGTGAAGTGATTACCACACACAGAGAATATCACAGGGTGTGTTACTCCTGTGTAAAAGCAGGAATTGCTGTTGGGAATGGAGCTTGGCTCAAGTGGGTCAATGGTCCCAGATGGATCTTCACAAGGGGACAAGGATGGGAAGTGAAGAGCAAAGCTATTGTGAAGGTAAAGCTCAGTTTATGCAGAAAAAATGATGTAGGTGACAGAAAATGAGGTATTTCCAGGAAGAGTTCATAATTTGATGGGAAAAAGGACTAATGATACCCAGTGACTGCAGCATATTGATCTAAATGAGCTTAGACCAGACCTTTTTTTCCCCTGGTGAGGGTTATTAACCTTACCTGCAGTTCTAAGGCCAGTTCCAGTGTTGGAATGTAATCCAGTTAATGTAGGCTTTCTCCATGCTGCATGCTCACAGCAGCCATGTTAAACTGTCAGACCATGTGTGAATTTGCTTCTGTCCATACTCCAAGCCTCATCTTCCTTCTTTTTTTCTGCTTCTTTTAATATAAAAGCAAACCTGCTGTGTCCCTTGGCAGTGTTCCCACTAACAGAAATAGTGGAGAACACTGTCTGAAGGATGTTCTCTGCACTGAGCACAGGGCCCCAGTGGAAAAGGATGTTCTCTCAGCTTTTCTGTCCCTGTGCCAGTGCTGCTCTCCCCAGGAGGGAGCTGGGCAATCTGTATTTCTGTCTCCTGTTTGTCACAGCTGATGCCAAATTTCAGTTTCTCCATGCAAAGATGATTCTGGACGTCTCTCAGTGCACCTAATTGCCTTCAAAATACCACTGATGGGCCTGAAAGGAAAATGCAAGTCACACCATCTCCAGGTTGGCAACACAGCCTCTTTTTTTTTTTTTTTTAACAGAAGCATTTTTGGTGGTGCTGTGCTCATTCATTCCCAGGTGTATCCACTGCCACATGAATAACACTTGGCAGTTTTTTTTCCCCTGACACAGCTGCTTTCCATCTGTTGCCGGGTTGGAAAGCGAGTCAGTTTTTGATGGGAGCTGAAGGCTGGGGCAGCTGAAGTTTGAGCAGCGCCTCAGAGTGAACAGAGGGATGGTACTTGTGTAATTACAGGTGGTTCTGACAACCTGGCAGCTGCCACAGCTGAGCTGCTCCTGGTTACCTGAGGAATGTTTCCCTGACAAATCACTTCAGGAGGGTCACGTTGTCAGGGTGTTCCCTGCTCGTGTCCTCTCAGGCTGAACGTCTTGTTCAGAGCGTGTCCACCGTGTCTCACGGGGTGAGGTGGTTCCCTGATGTAAGAGCTCCCTCCTGGACCTGTAATGCTGAGCTCAGACCTTCTGCCACCCACAAGGATGACTGTCCCTCTGGGCAAGAACATGTGGCCTTTCCCTGCAGCAGCAGAGCAGCCCAGGTGATGAATTCTCACTCCACACCATTTCCAGGTAAGGTGTTTTTTGCTCCCTCAGTCAGAGATAGACAAGTTGTGTCGTGTGCTTTGGTTACTTTAATCCTCTGCTGGCACCTGGTAGAGATAAACATGACTTTTATGCCCTGTTGCTTTTGGGAGGTAGGTGGAATGCTGCTCTGAACCTGCCTGCATTGCTCTCCAAAAATGTCATGTTAATTGGATGAATGTTCTTATTTTAGAGCTGCCTATATTATTTTATATTCTGCTGATTGGTGATCCCTGTAACCAACTGGGCTGTAATGGCCCAGGCTGGCAGCTTTCCAGCACTGCTCCCTTGCAGTCCCTGGAGGTGATTGGTAAGAACCAAGCATCCCCAGAGAGGATTCAGTTCAGGGATGTGTTCCTGACAGGGAAATGTGTTGCTCCACCCCTTTTGCCCGCTGATACCTTTTCCACAGGACTGCCCTGCTGTGTTTTGTTGAGGAATCATCTGTCAGGAGTTGCCTGCTCCTTTTTCTAGGTCACCTGCCTTCATGGAGCATGTCCTGTCTTGACTGCAGTGTGTCCTTCAGGCTTCAGACACATTTCTGAGCCAAATGCAAGTGAGAACAACGTGTGTCTCACCTTGTTTCTCTGTCCTGGTCATAGCTGTGTGCCTGTGATCATTCCTGCCTGCCTAACACCTGGAACAGAGGCCACCAATATCATTTCATAACTAAGTCAAAAGGTGTATGGGCTAAGGATTTTATAAAATTTCATGCTTCTCAAAAGATGTGATGAGAATATTGCCTCGGACAAAAAAAAAAAAGTATTTTAGTAGATTGAAAAGACTTTTTTTCTTACTGATAATTAAAAAGGAACATGCAGATGTTTAAAACTGTTTTAAGAGGTCACAGGAACAAACAAATGAGAAAACAGCTTTGCTTTTCCTCAGACTTTCTTCTGTATTGGCAGGCAGTACTTCTTGGTCCCTGGGTCCTTTTTCTGCCACTGGGAGAACAGATCATGTGTGGGTATGAAAAAGTAGTAATTTTTTAATCCTCTTTAATAAAGTACCTCGAGATGGATGTACACTGGAAGCAGCTTGGGCACATTAGTGAACTTAAGGGTGAACTGGGAGGGCTAAAGGAGAAGCAGGAAGGAGGATGAGGAGCTGGAATATCTTGCTGACAGGTATTTAACTCTTCAATACTTTGTACTGCAGAGAAGGGGAGGAAAGGAGTGAGGCTGCAAATGGCAGTTTCCAAAAATGAGAGAGCAAGAGAGAAATGCTGGGGGCCTAAAGTGGTGTGATGGGAGAGCAAAGCAGAAGGAACTGCTGTGAAGAGAGGCTGTGAGCCATGTCCCAAAGGAAACTGGCTGCAGGAATTGCTGCAGTTGAGCGGTGTGAGGGCTCCTGTGGTGTGTCTGGCTGGCTGAGGGGAGGCAGCAGTGCCCTTGGCTGCACTGCAGTGTGTTCCTCCCAGGCTGAGTGACAGATCGAGTTCACAGGCATGACAGACACGCTCTGACACGGGGCTTTTATTGACTGAGTCAGGCTAGGGAGGCTGTTTGAATATGTCTGAAAGAATCCCCTCCCAAACTCCTAAAGTAAAACCAACTTGAGGACACACAGTGTGTCTCAGCAGCGTGCCAAGCCTTTTTCACTGCTCCCTGCTCAGGTGTCAGGACTCAGGTTCCCCCTGCAGTGAATCCCAGCGGTGCAGGCAGGGACACATCCCTGTCCCCCCTCCCAGTCCCCACACTGAGGGCTTTGCAGCCTTGGCAGCTGGACTCTGACTGAGCAGGCACAAAGGACTGTCAGCCTGGATCAGCAGCACATCAGACATCCTTTCATCTGGCTCTGGCACTAAGCTTGCCCTGCCCACACTGTCTCTGCTGCTCTCCCTCCAGAGATGGTACCATTCCATCAGTAAAACGAGACCAGCTCTCCAGGCAAGCCACAGACCTTGGCCTCAGGGTAAGAGGCACTGCTCCTTTCAGGGTCTTTCCCTGTTGGAAGTGCAGTCCTTGTTGCAGCAGCTCCTGCCACCTTTGCATCATCTGGGTTCTTCTAATACACCTTTGTGTAGGTTTTGCTCTTCCTCTGTCTACCACCAGATAGCTCTGTTCTCTCTCCCTTGGGATGGGAGCAACTGGTGGGGAAAATGGTGCCTCTACAGATATTTTCAGTTGCTCAGATGTATCAACAGAGTAGAAGCCCATTTGCAAAAAAAAAAAAAACCAACCAAACCTGGATGTTTTATATGAAACTGGAAGACTGAATGGGAAGAGAGACAGAAGAAAGGGAGAGCATACAAGCAGTGGCTTTTCTTCTTCTTTTTGATAGCTCTCCCAGATCCATATAAAGATGATGCCACTGTCCCTTTATTTTTTCTGGAAAGACTGTGCTTTTGATATCCATCCAAGATGGGAAAAATGGAGGAAAAAGGGACAAAGGTGCCATGGGCTCACTGTCAGCTGATCACAGCAAGTTTGATGCTTTGGAACTAAGAATTTTATTGTGCATTTACTGCAAGTTGTGGATCTCAGAGGAGCCCCAGGGTACGTGGGACTGTCTGAGGGTGATCAGATCAGACATGGCTTTGGAGGCCAGTGGATCTGAGTTTCAGAGTGCCATCAGGGTGTCCTCACTGTGACACAGCCTTTGCCTCCAGTGCCTTTGGAAGCTTTTCTATGGAGCTTTCATGGTTCTGGTGGAATCCCAGACTTGATGAAGCCCTGCCTAAGCCTGGGCACTCTGCTGCCTCACCCACTCACGGATCAGCTGGTGAGCAATGGCCTGTTTGGGAGGGAACCAGGGTAAACAACTCCCATCATCTTGTTTTGAAGATCTGGGCTCTCTCTTGAGGCCCTCCATGATTTCCTCCAGGCCAAACCAACGGGCTTCCTCCAGTTCCAGGCTGTCCATACTGATCTGGAAAGAATTCAAGAGCACCAGTCCCTCAAATCAGCTTTAAGTGTGGGCAGAGGTACCTTGCTCGCTCTTGTACCCACAAAGATCCTGTGCTAGAATGCCCAGAGTGCTTTATCCATGCCTGAGGACATTACTGTCCACCAGTGCTTTGTTGCCTTGGTTTCCCAGGGAAACACTGTCCCATCCTGGCATTGGCCTGTGGAGTGGGTTGGCTCCAGGTCCTTTGGTAGGCAAAGGATCCTCACTGAGCCTGCAAAGCACCAGTGGCTGAGCACAGTAATTAACGGGGCAGAATCTGATTGTCCTATGGCAAATGTGATGTTAACACCAGAGAGAACCTCCTCTGCAAAACTGGGTGCTGGACTTGTGTATGTACAGTGACCTTGCAAAATCTGCCACATCTCAACAGAAAACAGGATTATTTCGAGCTTCGTTCTTCACTTGTAGAGAAAGCTGCACTTAGAGAGGACGTGCTGCTCTCCTCCTAAGTTCCGTGGACTGAAGGGGACTTTGCAGTGAGATGCCTCGGGGAGCCCGAGCTCGCTCACCTCAGCCCGCTGTGCTCCCACCAGGGCGTGGCAGCCCAGCATCAGGGAGCCGCTGGGGAAGGGCCAGTGCTGGGACGCCGAGTACCGGAGCGACTCCACCTCCAGCCCCACCTCCTCTGCCACCTCCCGCCGCACCGCCTCCTCCACGCTTTCACCTGCGAGCAACCAAAGGGAGGTAAGGACGGCCTGGCCCCCGGGCAGCAAGGAAAACTGCTCATTGCCCAGGGGTTCCAGCCCGGCTGTGCTGTCCAGGAAACGCTTGTCAGCAGGATGCTCCATTAAACTCATCGACTCATCCCGTAAACACAGCTACCAGAGAATTTTTCTGGCCCTGTCTGCATACAGAACAACTCAACATCTCCCCTTTTAAGCCATTTTCCCTCCTGCAACAAGAGGTCTGTAGTTTTCCTTCCGAGCCAGACTGCACTAACCACAAAATGGACTAAAAAAGTATCAGAGCTTCCAACCTGGGGAGTTTAAAACTTCTGTTTACCAACAGAGACTACAGCAACTGGAGGGACACCTTCCACTAGCCCAGGCTGCTCCAAGCCCCATCCAACCTGGCCTTGGACACTCCCAGGGATGGGGACACACACCAGCTGCGTGTCCATCCCTCTCCCTGAACAGGTGTTCCCACACCCTGCAAGCCCAGGGTCGCTGCCCTGCCTCGGGGCCCCCCTTACCCAGGTCACAGAAGCCCGAGAGAGCCGTGAACATGCCCGGGGGGAAGGAGGGCTGGCGGGCCAGGAGGCAGCGGCTGCCGTCGGACACCAGGGTGATGACCACTGGAGACACCTGCCGAGGGCAGCAGAGAGCAGAGCGAGGTCACACCCAACAGGTAAGTGGAGATTGTTGCCTTTCCTGGCTGGTTGAGGGCCACTGGATGAACACTGAAGACAAAGCACACAAAGCCCTCCCACTGCTGCTCGCTGGGTGCCCTCTGTGCCACCCAGAGTCCCTTGTGTTCCTTCCCTCTGCTGTCCAGGTGCTCACCTGGGGGTAGTAGGTGATTCCACTGGCCTGGCAGACACGCTTGCTGCCAGCTGGGTTTTTCTGAGTGGGCTGCCCAGTTTTGCTACAGTACTGGTGGGAATCGTGCCAGCGGAGAAGGGACTGGGCCTGCAAACACAGGAGAGGAACACAAACTTCATTTATACCTGTTGCACAGAGATGATTCAGAGCAGCCTCCCTGGGTAATGTTTTGCATGCAATAATGGGGGTGAACTCTGGTTGTCTCTGAAAGCCTCAGAAAGGTAAATGAAGTGTGGGCACTGCTTTGAAAAATGGCAGATTTCTGCATTCGATGTTTCCTGCTTCCAAATTTGGGTATGTTTGAGGGAGGTGGGGAAGAGTTGGTCCTTTTTGGGATATAATGGGAGCTGTAATGGGAACTGGATTATTCTAAAGAGTCTCCAGCCCTGAATATCTTCTTAAAACAGCCCAAATATCACAAACATTATAGAGCAGGAAAGGAAACATGAGTTATTTCTCCTTATGGGTCAGGACAGCTAATTTTCACACACAGGGCTTCCAAACAGAGGCCATCTGCAGAGTAAGAGCTTATAAATGAGTAGTTTTAAAAGAGCAGCTCAGAGAGGAGCTGTGTGAGTTTGTTTGTGACATTCAGTTTGCCCATATTACAGAAATCTAGTGCTGTATACTTGTTGAGCTGAGGACAAACTGGGATTGCTGGGACTGCTGCTAACACCAGCACATTTCATACTGAACATACAGCAGGTGGATGCTAAATGGCATAAATTACTGCAAGTCATTTTTAAGTCTGTTTTTCTTTCCACTGCATCTTGCTTTTGGGATCACAAATTTGGAAAAAACTGGTGTAATTTATAGCGTGTCTGTACCCAGGTCCCTGAAAGTGTACAGCAGGTATTTCCACAACATGTATTGGATCATAAAACAATATGGGAGACAAGGAGAAGGGCTGATGTTGGAGATCACAGCTTCTTGAAGGAAGAAGTCCAGTCCAGTACCGAAGCCAGCAGAGGACAATCCTTCCCATCCACCACAAAGAGAGCCTTTCGGAGGTCAGTGAACGATCCCTGCAATTCACACTCAATCACTGATTTCTCCAAGGCCCCTGTTCATAAAAAAAATAGAAACAACAACAAAATCTTTGATCTCGTAAATTTTAGGTTTCATCCCAACTTTCCACCCTTCATTGTTCCGGTACACAATTTCTGGAAGTTGCCACGGAAGTGACACCACATCAGGGGTAACATTCCCAACTGTTCAGTGGCTGCCAGCAGCCCACCTTCCCTGACACACACACAGGCACAGGAACAGCAGTGCAGGCCATGGCTGTGACCTGCCTCACTCACACCAGCCCCTGCAGAGCCCCCCCCAGCACATGTCCAGCCCAGGAGCAGGAATTCCGAGCCTCAGCCCAGCCCTCCAGGGCAGCACATGTTCATCCCAGGAACAGGAATGCTGCCTCAGCAGCACCTTCTGCTCAGTGCATCCCACTGATGCTGGCACAGATGGAAGAGGAGTTATCCCAACCTAAGTCCAAGGCAAAGTGTGGTGTGTGCTCATCTGAACAACCGACCAGCACCGACTTCTCCAGCCACTGCTCAGCCTCGGGGAGCTTCTCCAGGATCCGTCGCACCTCTAAACAGCAGGGAAAGGGGAAGAGAAAGCTGTGGTCAAAGCAAATCCATACAGCTGGGATGCCCTCTGGATCTTCAGGGCACAGGCAATCTTGGCTCATGGCCCACGTGAGAGAAGGGACCAGACAAGGTCAGTGGTTCTGCCCTACACCAGCCAATACCTTCCTCTCGAAGAAAACCTTTCCTGCCTCACACAAAAAAACCTTTGTCAGTCAGACCTTGCTTGTTTTCCTTTCTCTTCGCAAGGCATAACCCCAAATGTTTAAAACTGATCATCTCAAAACAGATCAGGTTGATACCACATGTGTGTGAAGAGCATGAGCTTGTGTCCACATGCCAAGGTCTTAACTCTGAACAGTCTCTGGTTGTTAACAAACAGTGCTGCACACAGCAGGATGGTCCTGCACAGCTCCATGGATTCCCATCCCCTGTACCAGGGCTTCCTTGCAAATCTATCTGCTTCTTTTCAGCTGCGTGAGCCAGGAGGGGTTTCTTTCCTTACTTACCTGCTGCACTGAGCTGTGGCACCAAATATTTCTTCCCAGCTTTCTGCAGGAAGGGGGAGAGATTGTGAAAGAGGTAGAAAGTTCCCGAGGTCTGGGCTTGTCTACAAAGACTGTCATCTTCCTTTAGCTTATTTAAGTATCTGCAGTGAGAAAACGATTGGGAAGGTGAATTCAAGATCATGTTGAGATTATCAATGTTATGCTTATTTGGATGCATTTACTTTGCACGGAGCAGGGGGGCTGAATGGACAGAACAAATTTAAAGTATTCCACATGCTTTGAGAGTTCTGACAGCTGAGTCACCCTTTGGTGGGCTGCAGCCTCCAGTGAAGGCTGCGTGGCACAAAACACTGCAGTTCTTACTACCCCAGGAACAGCCTCAAGTCTTGGATATCTGAGAAGATCAGTAACCCAGTCTCTCAATCCAAAAGGTCTGCTTTAAAGACATGATCATCTGTGTGCAAGAAACCTTGATCTTCCCTTTTATCCCCCAGTGTGGATGGCTCCAAGTGCTGCTTGGCCAGGCTGTTGTGCACATCACACATTGGAGACAGCTCCCATCAGGCTACAAACACTCCTGCTGGGTACACTGTGCCTGTCACACTGATGTGAGGGGTGAAGACCAAGCTGAAATCTTAGGGCTTAAAGCGAGGTAGGGCTGTTTGTGACAGTGGGCACGAGTGCCAAGCTCTGGTCTTCTCCCAGAGAAGAACCAGACAAGAACTCACCTCATTTTTCTAACATAGGTGGAGTGTAACCTGCAGAGGAGAGAGGGAGCTCTTCTGTGCAGTGCTTGATAAACTGCAGTCATGGCCAACACCTACAGCTGGGGTCTCGGCCTGAAAGGAGAAGCATAAAATGTAATGCAGCAGCCCTACAAAGTTAAGTTGGATTTAAAAGGTGCAATAACCAGGTAAATCTCCCTCTTGCAGAGTCCACAGAATCTGCTTTCTAAATTTACCACTTTGCTTTCAGTCTCAGTCACACATCAAACCCAGTTTCAGGCCATTTTTAAGACTGTTTGAAGCTCCCTGGGTTTGTTTCCACCTGTCAGTGTGCACAGGTCTCACAGAAGTTGCTGTAAGCCTGGATTCAAGGTTCCTGTCCCAAACCCCTGTGTCCCTGGGGAAAAGGGCTGCTCTCTTGTTTGCTTCCTACACAGTTGTGATGGCCTCGATCCAGCCACACATCCCATTGCAGCACACAGTGGATCTGTGGGAAAGGCACTGATGCCAGAAGGGAATGAAAGGCAAAATATCAGCTGTGGAAGAGAATTCCCTGAGTTTAGACCGGAGACAGCAGTTGCAGCTGAACTGGATCACCTCCAGCTATGGACGTTTTTTGTGCCAAAGGATCCTGCCACATTTGCAGTCGCAGACTTCAGTTTGACCTCAGCTTCAGGATGTCAGGAAATAGCCAGAAACTCTCCCAATCTCTGAGCCAAAACTGAACTGTGATCCACAGTCCTTAATGATTACCCTGGATATTTCACTTTCCAGCTGTGGAACTTGAAGCCCTTTAAGGAGGAAGTTACGTTTGCTTCGATTTACGGATGCAGAAAGTGCCAGGGAAGAGTCTGAGAGCCCTTCTTTCACCAAAGGTCAGTGATGGCTCCATGTGTGCACATGGAGACTTTGCCTTGTGGCTTCGGACATCTCTGCCCCGGATCCCTCCTTCCCACCGTGTCAGCTGACAGGGATGATCCCTCGGGAGACAGGGATCATGTTTGGGAAGCCACTGGGCTGAGGCAGCGGCTGCGAGGACGGGACTGTCCCAGACCGTGTGTGACAGGGTTTGGGCAGTGACAGCCGTGCGTCTGCCACTTCTCCACCCCCGCGGATCCCGCAGCCTGGAGCGTGAATTCCCCGGCGCGGCACCAGCGCTGGATGCGGGAGCTCTGCACTTCGCTCTGGAACGAGCGGCACGATGGGGGCACGGGGAGCAACCTGTCCGCAGAACTGCCCTGGTTTAACCCCTCCCTCCCCGGGAATCACCGTGCCAGGTCTGGAATCACAGAGCCAGCCAGGCTGGAAAAGATCGTCGAGTCCCGCCTTTGACTGACCACCACCTCCTCAACTAGGAACCACCGGGAATCCCTCCGCTTAGCCCTGGAAGCGTTCCCGGCCAGGGTGGCCAGGGCTGGAAGGTGTCTCCGCTCCGGAGCCGAGCGCTCGGAGCCGGGCACGGTACAACCCGCCTGGCTGGGCTGTGACTCCCCCCGGCCGGGCCGGAGCGGGGCCGTGCCCGCCCTTCCCCGGGGATTCCCCACTCACCGCGCCCCGGGTCCGGCAGCGGGGATCGGCTGGGAAGGTGCCGGGCTTTGGCCAGCAGCGGGGACCAGCTGGGAAAGTCCTGGGGTTGAACCTCCTCTTACTGGGCCGGTCGCTCTTCCCGCACTGGGAGCGCTGGGAAATGTAGTCCTGCACGGCCGAGGGCTGGCGCTGCGCTCCGGGGCTGGAATAACTCCTGCAGTTCGCGAGGCTGCCCGACAGTAAACTCCCTCTATATTTTTTTTTTTTCCCCCGCACCTGCTTCATTCCATCAGCAATCCTGCATTTGGCCGAACAGGAGTTCCTGTGAGAGCAGTGCTGCTGCAATGATTTGAGCTGTTCTTAGCACAGGAGTTTGGATCCTGCGAGTATTTTTTTTTTTTCTAATTCCAAGCTTCCCCGGGTTGTGTATCCATAACATAAGAGCACTGTTCAAAGTTAAGGACCATATGTCCTCGAACAGGGAAACGTGCCAGGAGCTGTATAAATGCAAAGGCTGGAGCTGTTCAGTGTTCCAGCACCCAAAGCCCCAGCTGAGTTTGTCAGCGAATTTCTCTGATCAGAGAGTGTGCTGTGCCAAGGCACATGTCAGAATAATGACAGATTATTTTCATTCCTTTATAAGTGAACAAACAGATTCCTCTCAAGTACTGAAAACATTATTCTGGGCTGGAACCTACGTGGCTATATTTAGCACAAAGAGAATTTTATAAACATATGAAAGTAAATGTTTTCAGGGCAGCCTTTTGCTTTTTGGTCATGAATTGAGCCGTTCTAATCGAGAATTTGCATCACGTAATTTGAGAGCGTGGCTTGTAAAAATAACAAACAAAATATGCAAGGAAACAGGACTCTTAGCAGAATTACTTACAAGTTTACGTTTAATTATGCTTCACTGCTATTTGTGTGCTTCCTGAGACAGAGCAAGTCCGATCTTATTAATCCACGGGGCTAATTGGATTAATGGACAAAACACATCTTCCCTTAATAAGATAAAGGATTGAAATATAATCTCTGAGGGAAGTATCCACCCTGCTGTTAAAACAAACTAACAGATTTATTGACCCTGACTGGCCCCAGAACTGGGTCTTGCAAGAAGAGCTGGTTTTAGAGGGAAGCAGCTGGAGGAGGGACTTTGGACCTCAAATCTTGGGACAGCCTCTCCACCCTGTTCAGCCCCAAGCAGGCAGTGCCTTGGTGAGTGTGCCCTGTCACAGGAAGGATTAAAAGCCAGAGCTCTCCAGTGCAGTGTCAGGCCTCCTCTGAGGGCAGGGCAGTGTCGCAGCCTGCAGTTGCTCCATGAGAAAGAACACACTGATAAACCCAATCATGCATACCTGGCCTGTGTGCTGGGGCAAGATATGCAGGGAAAATGGGATTAGAGTCACTTCTGCTGCTGGGCTGAGCAGTAGGAGCCAAGCAGCCTGGGAGAGATTCCTTGTGCCTTCTCCAAGGGTCCATATGTTAACTGCCCTGTTAAATATTTCTGCAGCACAGAAGCAGGGGAGATGATTTTGAAACAGAGGCTTTCTTGTCATTCATTCACTTGATCATTTAATTTAAGGAGCACAAATGCCAGTTGTTGCTTTGGCACTGAGTAGTTTCTTTGTAAGTATTTTTGGGCTCTGAGTTGTGTGAATTGCACCTATAAACTGCATGTATTAGTCCCCTGCAGACACTGCACTCCATGCCAGGAGCAATCCTGGGAGTGAAGGGAAGGCCTGGCCACACAAACGCATCCCTGAGATTTCTGTAGCTTCTAATTTGAGCTTTGGCAGGGCCCCAGAAGAAGTGAATCCCAGAGACTCTCCTGATGCTAGAAGAGCAAACAAAAGGAGCAGGCAAAGAGGACACAAGCAGTAACAAATGCTTGCCATCTCCTACATGGACAAGACTGCAAACCAGGTAAATCTTTGATCCTGTGTTGCTAAGATTTTTACTTTTTTTAATCTGGGTTTGTAAAATACTCATATTGGGACTAAGCGTTGGTAAAAGATTTTTTTTTCAAGCCAAAAAAGTGGCTGGAAAATGTAATTATAGGCTAATAATAGTTATACTACTAATCTCAATTTTTCTCTCTGTTTTCTGTCTTTCCAGCTGCCCCCAAGAAGCAGAAATAAGTACTAGAATTGCTAACAGCTGGCCCTTGTAAAACAACTGTTAATTGCCCTAAATATATGAAACTAGCAAATTCACATTGAAAACTCATGGTCAAGCCACAGGAAACCTCTTGGCAAAAAAAGACTTCTTTTTTTCTTTTAAGGACCAGCCTAAGGAAAGACAAACCACTCCTTTAAAGAGAAAGTTAACGAGTAGTCTCCCCCTCTGTCATTAAACTGGCAAACTGAGCCAGTCTGGCTTTTCTCTGAAGTTAGATTTGTGTATACTACATTTATGATGGGCTCCTATGGTTTCTCACACTCAGGGTGGGGACCTTGAAAGGAAGAAACTGCCTAATTTGATCTGCTGATTACATCCTGTGCTCCTGAGCCCTGGACAGGGGGAGAGGGGGCACTTGAACATCTGAGTGGCATTTTCCTGGGATTCGTTTCAGGGCATATGTGAGTTCTGTCTTTTCCCCTCCCTTGGTGCTGCTGTTGGTTATGGAATATCCTCAGACTCTGGGGCTGACTTGCACTGCACAAAATAACTGGTGGCAGAATGTTGACTGCAGGTGATGGCTTTGTTTTGGGAGCAGACTGGTGGGAAACTGGATCCCTCTACAAAGGGTGAACCCTCAGCTGTGGATACACCTTAAAAAAAAAAAAACACCTAAGCTTTTTGAGCTAATGGGTTGACATAAAACTGATAAAAAGTCATTGATATGACTCACATGTGTCTTTAAATTGCCTGCAGTTCATGGCCTGTCGTCCCCAAGAGGATACTGGAGATCTGGAAAAGGTTCCTAGAGGGCAACAAGCATGACTAAAGGCTTGGCCACGGCAAGGAACTAGGTGGGCTCTGACTTCAGCCTGGGTAAGTCAGCTGCAGACCAAACCCATCACTCTGGAGCCTTCAGCCCCATGCTGAGCAACACAACCCTCAAACGTGCTCGTTGTTGTTCTCCACTGCCTGCCTTGCTTCCTAAAAATGTCTGGATAGTGCAAAAGGTGCTGAGGAAGCAGCAGATCTCGATAGAAAAAACCTGAATGTGCCTCTCCAGGGTGGGAGGTCTTGCCAAATCTCTGGAAGCTGCTGTTAAATCTCTGGCTACATGCTATGGACTCTTTGGATAATGGGGCTTTAACTAGATGGCTCAGCTAGAAGCTTGGATATCATTCCAGTGTTTCCTGCTAGTTGTAGGAGTTGTATTTCTGTTGGAAGGCGACCAAAACGAGAGGGAAGGAAGGCTTATTTTTTGACGGATAGTTCCACTAAAAACTGGCCTTATTCCTGCTCTGGAGCAGCAGCTCTCGCAGTGCTGGCCCTGGGTGGACACATCTGTGTCCACAGCTGGATGAGAAAGGACTGAATTCACTTCATATCTCAGAGCCCCCCCCCTAAATGGGACATAACACCCGGATTTGCCCTTCCCAAGGTGTTGCTGATGGAGCTGGAGCTGAGGGAAGAGTTTAGGGAAGAAATCTTAGTTATGGATCGTGCTGCAACCTCCAGTTCCCTCTGCTGAGCGAGGTGGGCTTAAGCCAGTTCAGTCATCCCAGTAAAGAATGTGTGTTAGAGGGGGATTTTGACCCCTGTTATGGGGGATTTGACCCCTCCCTGTTATTGTTGTGAAAGATTTCCAGCTGGGAGTGACCAAAAATGTCTGCCTTAGGAGGAGGAAGATTGAAGGCTGGTTAGGCTACTGAGGAGGTGATTCATTATTTGCAGCCCAGATCTAAAGAGAAAGGAAAAAATGCTTATGAGTGTCCCTGATTCCAACTTAATTGCTGGAATGAATAAATAACTGGAATCCTAGGAAACAATGAGCAGTCAGCATTGACCTGTCATGGCAAGACACATCCAGGCAGCTTATTAATGCCTTTTTGTGATAGCTGAGACTCCTGCTGTACCAGGGTGGGTGAGGGCTGATGGTGGTTTGTGATACAGGTTTTGCTGCTGCCCTGCAAACTGCTTCTGGGATCAATTGAGATGGAAGCCCTGGAAGGAAGGGGGAGGCTGCTTCAGCAACAGCACTGGAGGAAGGCACCATCAGTGTGGAAATGTCTTCACCTGGGCTGGCAGGAGAAGGTGAGTGAAAGGCTTGGCTGGTGGGACAGAAAGTGTGCTGTGAAACGCAGCAGATGGCACTGGCAGGAGAGAGGGAGGTGCAAGGCTGCTTTGGAATCACAGTTATCCATAGAAATTAAAGCAGCAGTCAGAGAGAGGAGACACAAGACTGTCTCAGAAAGAAATGAGAATCTGTGCAGATTCAGAATCTGGGCACAATTCAGTTGCACAACCAAATTGTGCAACTGGTGTGAATCACCGTGGTCAGGGAGCGGATCCCGACTGGAATGTCTGTCCAGGATTGTCAGCTGGGAGCTGATCCCCTCCTGGAAGTGGGACTGGGGCTTGTGGGGCTCAGGCCTGGGCTCTGCCAGGATCTCCTGGGAAACAGGGACACTGCTGGAGGTGGGAGTTGAAATCACAGAATCATAAAATCATAGAAAAAAAAATATCCTGAGCTGGAAAGGACCCATCAGGATCATCCTGGCCCTGCACAGGGCACCTCAAGAACTCCATGTGTGCCGGAGAGTGGTGTGGCATGGCCCTTGCAGGGTGGGCACCACGATCCCAGGGGTCTTTTCCAACCTGATTGAGCCCGGGCTCAGCTGCCCTGGGGCTGGGCAGGGCTGCACGTGCTGTCTCCCGGCCTCTCAGGCCTTTCCTGGCAACTTTTACTCCAAACCCCGCCACTTTCAGCTAAACCCTTTCGCATTTCTTCTCGTCTCCGTGTTGGTTTGCACTCCCCTCCCCGCTGTCCCGCCGGTGCCGGTACAGCCACACCCCCATGTCCTGGTGTCCCCGCCTCGGGTGTTGCCCCGTGTCTGGTGTCATCCGTCTTGTCAGGGCATCCCCCCCGTGTCCAGTGTTCCCCATGTCGGGGTGTTCCCTGTGTCCGGATGTCCAGTGTCCCTCCCGGTGTCCCCCGTGTCCCGGTGTCTCCCCCCGTGTCTCAGTGTCCCCCGTGTCTGGGTGTCCCCTGTGTCCGGATGTCCAGCGTTCCCCCCCGTGGCCCTGTTTCCCCCCCCGTGTCGGGTCCCCCCCCCCCGTGTCCCTGTGTCCCCCATGTCCTGGTGTCCCTCCCGGTGTCCCGTGTCCCCCCATGTCCCGGTGTCCCTCCCGGTGTCCCGTGTCCCCCCGTGTCCGGTGTCCCTGCCGGTGTGTGTCCCCTCATGTCCCGGTGTCCCTCCCGGTGTCCCGTGTCCCCCCATGTCCAGTGTCCCTCCCGGTGTCCCCCCATGTCCGGTGTCCCTCCCGGTGTCCCCCCCTGTCCGGTGTCCCTGCCGGTGTCCCGTGTCCCCCCGTGTCCGGTGTC